ATTTCCCTTAGAGTATTCTTGCACATCCATCTTAACATGCGCATTTCCGTAACCTCCATCTTTTATATGTGCTCCTTCTAAATTCTACCCAACATCTTGTACCATAAAGCAATATTGTTTTTATGGCACTCCTATAGAATTTCCCCTTCAACGGGAAAGGAATGCTTTGGTCACATAACATTCCCGTAGCCGTTGTCCGTTTAAGCCACCCTCACTGGCTGACTTAATCCTAGGGGAATAGAGGCCACGTTGTGATTATATAAATACTTTCTAAATTTATTTTCGCATTTAATTTTATTATTTTATCCTACTAATGTTTTATGAATTTTATTGATTTCCTTTGCTAAAGTTTTCCCAAATCTTTATGTTTTGTTGCTCCAATGTTTTAACCACTCTTTTTAAACTTTCTTGAACTTTATCCTTGGTCCTTTTTTAAAACTCCCTTAATTTTTGCCTGGATGCTCTTTCTTTTGCTTACTCTACTCGCCTTTTTTTCAAACAATTTCAAATGATTATCTGGTTATGTCCCCTTTTTTTCTTTTTTTTTTTTTAATTTAAATATTGTACGGTTTCTTATGTTGATTCATGTTAGCCGACGCCTTTGGGACTAAGGCGACGTTATTTCCTGGGTCGGGTTCGGTGAGATCGGGTTGGGTCGGGTCGGGACTATTTTTAAACTTGAGTCAAGATAATTTATTGTGTCCATACGAGCTGAAATATGAATCGGATATTTTTGGTGTTGGTTTCAGGAGAGTCAGATATGTATCTGTATTGGAGAACAGGGTACTAATAAAATTTTAGCCTCATTTTTACCTTGCTAGTTATTATTTTTCATGCATTTTTGCCTTTTCTCTTATTCCCTTTTTTTTCCCTTTGAAGGATTTATTTATTTATCTTTATGGTCTGTTACAGTATGCTGCTCTTAGTATGTGATTATTTGTTTGAGCACTTAAAAGTTAAAACTAGATTGCTTTGTTGTTTTCCTTCAGGCGTTGGCTGCTCTAGGACTGAAAACAGGTGGTACTGTTCAACAAAGAGCGGAGAGACTATTTCTTACCAAGGTATTTTCGAACAATCCTTATGATGAAGAAATTCAAATTTTTGAATCCAAGCTTAATTTAATTAGCTAAGCCCCTTGCAATGAAACATTTACATCATTTATTACTTGAGGCTATTAGGGTGTGCCGTTTAAGCAACACCTGTTTAGTTCTACTGTTTGTAAATGCTCTTAGCACATATCCTGCAACACTAAGTCTTGTTTACCGTTGTTACAGAACACTCCTCTCGAAAAGTTGGACAAAAAGCATTTTGCTAAACCGCAACGTGGTTCAAAGCAGAATGGTAATGGCGACCTGCAGGTTCAGAAGCAGGAAGATATTAAGGAGTTGGCCTTAGTTGAGGCCAAGATGGTAAAGCTTTGTGAACTGCTTGAAGAGGTTAGCTCATAACTCTTTGTAGTTTTGCTGGTAACAGCATTGATAAAAGAATCTGCCCAGCGCTTTTACTTGTATTTAATACAAATTATCTTCTGTAAATAATTATTAATTACTTCTTCTGTTTGGGTATATTGGTCTTTTTAGTACATGAGAAAAAGGGGGCTGATAGTGCTTCTATCGTTCTGGTTTCTTTTGGTTTCAGATTATAGTCCGAACTAAAGAAAATTCTGAGAAGAAGCAGGGAATGACTTATGAGGAGCTTGCAAATGAACACGAGGAGGTAAATTTATTCATCGCTTTTCTTTTATTCATCATATGTTTTCTAGTGCTATTTAATTGTACCTTGTTTCATTAGGGGTGTTCAAATCCGGGTACCCGGGTTTTCGGGTACCCGAAAAGGCGGGTACCCGGATGTTCGGGTAGTGAGAAATTCGGCCCATGTCCCGACCCGAGAAAGTCGGGTACCCTGGTTTCGGGTACCCGATTTTCTCGGGTCGGGTCATAAGGTACCCGAAAAGATTTAACTCATCTCAATGAATTTTGTTTTTTAAACAATTTCAATGAAATAATGAATATGTTTATATGTGTACTGTATAGAGTAAAAATTAATTAAATTCAATAAATTACTTTGCTACTGTAGACCTGTAGTACTGTACAAACACAAAAAACTTCATGAACATAATTGGAGTACTTGTTCAACTATTAATTACTAAATGAAATACAAATACGTCATATTTTTAAACAAATCTAACTACAAACTTAAACAAACAAAAAGAAATTAATAAAATACAAAGCAACTGAATTTTACACTTTATAGAATATTTTTTTTTACAAAAAAAGTAAAATTTACACAAAATCTAAAGACAACCGAAAATCCCACAAATGGAGAACCCAAATTGGTAGATCTTAGAGATCAAAACCCCATATTTCTGGACAAAAACGCCAACTAACCGTAATGCCGCCTAGTGTAGTAGTGTTGCTGCTTTCCCTTTTGCCGCGACTCACAGTGTGTGAAAGAAAGTTTGTAGAGAGGGAGAAAGATGGTTTGTAGAGAATGAATGAGATTTAGAGGAGAGAGAAAGCATTATTGAGTGAATTGTTATTGATGGGAATGACGGCTATAGTATTGTAGGGAATAACAAGGTTAAAAACCCTAACCCTTTACATTATTATACGCACAGTAATATCTTTTTTTTAAGAAAAAGCTTACGGGTCAGCGGGTACCCGACATCCTCACATGCTGGCCCATGACCCGACCCGAAAATCTGCTAATTATCCGGGTCGGGTACCCGACCCGCCAATTTCAAAAAAATAAAAAAAAATACCCGGTTAAATTAAGTCGGGTCATCGGGTCGGGTATTTTTGAACACCCCTATGTTTCATACAGTGATGTTCCGTGTCTATGATTTTGCAGGAAGATGTACATGCTGAATCTGAAAGTGATGAAGAAGATCAACCTATATACAATCCTTTAAAGTTGCCTCTTGGTTGGGATGGAAAACCAATACCATATTGGCTGTATAAGCTCCACGGTCTTGGACAGGTATGCCTTCATTTATTTTAGTCATCAAGAGGGCATTACCGCCTGGTTTTATATTCTTCTGGCCCTTCTTTTTTCCTGACAGCTTGATATATTTGGTTTGATTTATGTTTAGTAATGTGTTGACTTAATTATCTTAGGTCACCATTCTGTGAAATTAACACTTTTTTTTTACTCTCTAATTTCCTGATCAAATTTGGCTCATGTAGCCGACCCCACTTATGGGATAAAGGCTTTGAGTAATTGATTGATTGACTCTCTTGTTTAATTCAGGAGTTTAAGTGTGAAATTTGTGGGAACCATAGCTACTGGGGCCGTAGAGCTTTTGAGAGACATTTTAAAGAATGGCGTCACCAACATGGAATGCGCTGTCTTGGAATTCCCAACACAAAGAACTTTAACGAAATCACATCTATTCAGGTATCACTTTCTGTTTCCCTATGCATACTGAAGACATTTTTCACATTTTCTGAAAGGTTTTAACTTTTAAGTGAGAGTTACTTGTATGTGCCTTTTGCATACTGCATCTGCATCCTGTTTGTAAACTAAGAAACACAGAAACTTAGTTTTTCCTGCTTCCAAAACCCCACCGTTTCTATGCTACATAGTTTGTAATTACTTTTTTATTTCTTTGGCTCCAAAGATGTCTATGAAACTTTTTTTATCTTTCTAAATTTAGGAAGTGCTTGATTTAGCATGTTCAATCTGGTTTGCAGGATGCTAAGAATCTCTGGGAAAAAATCCAAAGGAGACAAGGATTGCACAAGTGGCGACCGGACCTTGAAGAGGAATACGAAGATAAAGAGGGGAATATCTATAATAAGAAGACATACACTGATCTACAGCGTCAAGGATTGATATAGAGTTTCTATTGTGTAAGTCATTTTGGGTCCTCTCATATATACTGCTGCCCTTACCCAAGAACATTTTCATTTTCCCCTGTTGCCCGATTGTTTCCTAACTTTAGAAGTTAATGCAGCATGGTAATTGTTTATAGGTGGAAAAGAAGTGTAATTGTGTTTTTCTCTTTGAAACAGAGTTATATTTGAGCTTTTTCTCAGCAGATTTGTTATACAAATGTCTTTAAACGACATTGACAATACATTCTGGTAAGCGGTAACTCTTTGCTGATTAAGCCCCTTGGTCATCACCAAAGTTGATGACAAAAACTTCATTGATCATTCTAGAATTTTTGTGTAGGGAACTCTGACCATATATTGGTTATTGTGATCATTGCTTAGCTGCAACCGCATGTTGGAGCCTGCCATTTTCCTATCACTGGTTGCTTCTGAAGAGTATCAGTTTCCAATTGCATTTTATAAAGAAAAAATTATGGGAGCATGGTTAGTGTAAAATTTGAGGATGTATTGCAAATTTGCAAGCGGCATTCTTATTCATGATAATATTTATATAAAAAAAAACGGTACTATGTTTTGCCATGATAATGGTGTACTGTTTTTGCATTATTTTCACCGAGTAAAGGATCAATTGCCCCCTTTTTGGAGTTGGCTTCTATTATTTCGGTCTAATTCACAAATAACGTAACAAAGTATCATCTTTTTTTAACGCGAAATAGAAGAATTATACGGAGTATTAACTGCACATAGCCGTAGTTTTGGACTATTGGTCTCAATGCCCTTTGAAATGGTACGAAATTTGGTACTAGACAAAAGATACAGTACCTCAACCTTCCTACCAAAACCAAGAGTGGATAAAAGCAAAATAGATAAGGTGTGATGACAAGATGGACAACCAAACTGACTAGCATTCTATACTGTACAAGATGTCAGTGTAATCCTAACCACTGGACCAAGCTTAGCTTGGTTTCATAACCTCCTAACTGCAAAGCAACAATAAGCAGCTAACCATCAACTACGATTAATACATTTGTACATGCATGCTTTTTCATGATCGGCTGGCCTCAGCATACTCTAATGCCATCTTTTAAATCGAGCTATAGATCACATGGTTATATACTTATACAAGTATATCGTAAATTCTCTTGGCCTATATATTTTTCGGAATTTAATCAACTTAAGAAATAAACAATAAATAAATTTATGGACATATGCTACGTTCAACACTGCTTGCAGCCCCTTGGGTGTATAATCTAAACCCATGACCTACAGCACAAAATAATTGTAGTGCTGCCTAATCTCTCTTAAGCTATGTAGAGGATCTGATTTTTACATACATTTTAACTGTACAAAGCTACCGGCCTGTCCAAGGGATTTACAGATACAATTCTATAGACCTATCTACATGATCTTGTAAAGATAAGTGCCGAACCATTTACACTACGGAGGACAAGCAACCTAGAATCTACATATGTACCACATACAACTTTTGACAAATCAAACATTTCCGGTGGCACTTGCAGTCGAACTTCTTTAAGCACATTTTTAGCATCATCAACATTGTTACTTACTGGCTCACCAAGGTTCATGGTCAATTCAATTTCACTAGATGCTAATTTAGCTACTGGAAGACTTGAAGGAATCTCCTTGTAAGGGAATGCTTTTTTCCATTTTCTGTTCGATGATATCTTTACTACCGGGGTTGTGCTAGAAGATGTAGAAAATGACATTTCCGAATTCTCTTTCTTAATGTATTGCCGCCTGCCAGCCCTTAATCTGGATGGAGACATTCCTTTAAGATTTCCAGGTGTACCGGTTTTGTCATGAGGCCAATCTTGACCAGTAATCACATTGAAAGCAATATCTGAAGTGAACTTAAATGTTGTCTTTGGACTTGATATTTTATCAACAATTAAGTGCACATCACCAATAAGAACTCGGTGAGCTGGTTGCCGAAAAGTCAATCCTATGTGCCGACCTGTGCAGTAAAGTAGACGCCATTTTCCAGGCAACAGCTCCAGCCAATTCTGCGAGATCATATATAATTAGCTACACAGAAAATTTTCAATACTTCAACTTGTTAACTCCTTAACTTGAAGTCGTCATGGTAACAATCAATAAACAGAAAGAAAACAGTGTACAAATTAACAGTATAAAACCACCAGGGGGCCAGATAATGTCTATGTGGTAAGAGAAAAGATAAAACTAACAGGACTAGTTGACGTTCAACTAACAGAAGTAAAATCTAAATCTATGTCAGATAATGTCTATGTGGTAAGATAAAAGATAAAACTATGGAGCAGTACCTTAGGCTTCGGATGAGGATTCAGCATCTCCATCAATTCAACAAAGTAGGAGAGCCTGTTACGCTGAAAACATAAGCATCAAGGTCAATCCAAATCCATGCGGTGGCAATGGGATAGCACACACACTGACCCACACAGTGACACAACTGATACGGACATTGGTGAGTTAAAGACTACTTAACTACATGTTAGCCACTAACACACACGACTGATATGGACATTGGTGGTTAAAGCCTACTAGACTACTTGTTAGCTACTAACCTCCATCTCAAGCTCACTGTTCAAGTTAGATCTGGGAGAAGGGAAATGAAAAGCTAAAGTAAGACCAAATATTCAACCAGTCTTGGTACTGGAAGGGCACCTTATCAACTTATCTCATTTGTTGATCAGGTATAACAAACAAATGGAAGTGATGATGGCTATTTGACCCCCTCTCTCCCTCCAATTCCCCATCAAACATCAGTCATCCAATGGCTAAATCTGAATCACATTTAACAGTTTACTCCTCTATAGTAGGTAGAACCACGCATTCCATCAAGCCAAAGCCAAACAACTATGTGAAGTTCTAAGAACCATATATGGCTATGAAACCTATATTAGAGAGAGGGACAAATTTGATTTTTGTTCTAGCATAATGAGAAAAGAGGACAACATAATTGGTCAAGATCCTCTTATATCTTAATTAAAGTCACTAGGGTAAGCAACTGAGAGCTACCTGAGGCTGGCGATAGATGTATTCTTCAGTAATTCGAACAGCAGTAGAGCCAAGACCCCATCTAATTATGTTCATTGATGGCTGCACTCTCCATCTTGGTCCGCATAAAAATGGGTGCCTCAGAGCATCTAAACAGCTGCACAGCACACATAGATAGCATAACCCATATCAGAACTGCAGCAGGTTTTTCAGTTTGTTTTTTTATTTTTTATTTTTTTATTTTTAATTCCAAAATAAGAACGTGATAAAATGAAATAACTTAATATACAGAGCTGGTCAGCTGAATAACAGAACTAGATTGTCAACAAAATAAGAACATGACATAATAAAATAACGAAATGAAGCCATGAGTATTATTATGCATCATATGCATTCAAGATTTCAAACCTTGCCATACATTTCTTAAGCATTCTTTACTACTAATTATAATCATTATATGTCTTTGGACTAAATACTATACCAAGATAAATGAACATCTGCCATGCTCACAGAAAGCAAAAGCTCTCTGTATCTCTTCAAGATATCACAGCTTTGCAACCATTGCCAGTTTAGCTGTGTTATCAAGGTAAATGGACATCTACCACACCAATTTAAATTACAGCTATATAACAGCATAAGTTCTTAAGCAAAATTAATGAAGCAAAGAGTTCATCATCTCTGCATTCAACGCAGAAGACTCAATGCCTTATTTTTCTGATAGTCCTCTGAGAAATGAGGACAGTATTTTAATGAAAATGATAATGTAAAAATCCACAATAAAAGCTATTCTCATTTTTCAATACTACATGTGCTTGGCTTCTGCAACATTTTAGGGTTTTCAGCTGACAACACATGAAGCTATATTTTCACATTCAAGTACTTGTAAATAGAAGGAGAAACAATGACAAGCAGATATCCCGTTGGATCAAAGGGCTATGGAAAGCATCAATATTCTAGAAAAACTGAAAAGGTACCTTATTCTATCAAAAGGTTTTGGTGCAAGCAGCAACGCCAAAAGATTCCACCCAGCGCCCCAGTTTCGATCCAGCATCTGCAATTAAATGACTTTTAAACAACCTTCTTTCAAGAAAAGAGAAAAGGAAAAGGAAACCGAGAGACAAGAGGACAGAGGACAGGATGAAAAAATGCAGCAACTCAATTGGGTAGAGTTCACCAACCTGAAGTCCAATATTTCCAGAAGGGGAGTTCTTACTCAAAATTGGCAACATGAATTCACGCAAGCATGATGGATCATTTCCCTACAAAATAATGAACATTAACTCTAGGAGAACATAACGTAGCGAGAACTAAGCAACATAGAATTATTTTAATAGCTCAGGAGCATAGCATTAGTGACAACTCAGCAGCATGGAATTTTATTTAATAGTTGACATTACATGTTAATAATTCAAAATGGGATACTTAACAAGGATATCGTGAATAAGTACCTTGGTAAGAAATGATTTGAACTCTGCAAAGATTATTGGATCCATGAGCTCCGGCAGAACCATCTTTGCCATGACAAATCCAACACACCTAAGAGTAACAAGTAAATAGCATGTATAAGGTATCTGTGGATTTTTTTTTTTTTTTATCACTAATTATCCAAGCAAGACTTTCAAGTTGATTTACACACAAACATTCCTTTTCATTACCTCATATCAAATGCAATCATCATTTGCCTTCTCTTACTGTTAAAAACTTTACTATTTGAAGCATTCTCAATGAAGTCAACGGCATTTCCCAAAAAACCTACCTGGAAAAATATGAATCCATAAGACAAACTGCTAAAGAAATCATAAAACGAGAGAATGACAGCTTTTTGTAGATGAAAAAACTTTCTGTGAGGGAGGGGGGAGCAGAGGGAGCTATCAAGGAACTATATTAATATGAGTTCCCAAGGGGTTATTACTTGTGGTAGGCTATCACGTACGAATATTCCCTCTGTCCCATAATAGCTTTCAGACATGCCTTTTTGGAAAAAATAAAACCGCACTTCTCTTTCAAGTAGACATTCTTTCCTCTCTCCATCACACCTACCTTTTATCTCTCTCTATCATGACAGATTTTATCTTCTTCTCTTTTTATCCAGTAGTATATATTTTATCCACATTTAACATCTATCCTCAATATTTTTCTCCATAAAAAAAAATAAAAATAAAAAAATAATCGATCTTTATTATTTTTACCAAACCCACATGTAAAAAATCTTAAGGGATGGAAAGAGAAGCAAAAAATGCCTCTTGCATTGCAACTTTAACTATACAACAGAACCAAAAGAAAATGTTAAATCCTTCAGGGAAGATCGCAGAAGCTTTTTCCTCTAAAAATTAATTGTTTCTTTCTCTTCACACACACCACCAGATAGCCTAAGGAGGCTTACACACATCAGCAAGGACAGCAACCCAGCCTTTCTTCATTCTTTACAAACCAGCAAACCTCGAGCATATTTATGGGCTTACCAAGTTGCAGGCTTACAGCCAACAAATATCAAACATAGCTAGTGAGGCATGGAGACAATGAGATCACACAAATTATATATGCATACAGATATTAGTCATGACTATAAAGTAACCAACAATTTCTAAGCAGTGCTTACAAGAACCTGTTTCATTCCGGTAAATGTTAAGATTGTTAACACAAATTTGTGTGCGAAACCATTTGGATGAGCTCTGATTTCGAATTGATAAAACCATCATGGTTTAGTATACTAGATCAACTTCATGCTTATAAGTTATAAGGAAAAGAAAAAACAATACTTCACATGATACCATTGCACATAAATAAGAGCTACTCACTTTAATATGCCTGTCCACAGGGCTTACGTGCAAATTTTCCAGCCTCAGTTCAGTGTGGGCAAGTCCATGACTATGCAAATAATTTACCTGAAAGCATTGGGAAGTGCATAATGAACTTCAGGACCTTCCAAGCAGGAGAACACACATAAGACATGGATAGATTAATACTCGTAATAATAACGATAATCATACTCCTATCAAGAGATCCCTCATAAGTAATCGAATCAGACGTAATTTCCTGGACACAGCTGGACCTCCAATGCTGTCATCCCCCACCTTTCGAACAGACTCTTCATCGAGAGCAAGAGTAGCTTCTAAGGTTGGTAACCAGTCTGATTGTTGAAGCCAGTGCCTTAGCGAGAAACTCCCATGATACTGCATTTATAGAAGCAATTGCATTAATTTCATTGTACCGCTAATTATCCAGGACCAGGACTCCTAAAATTCAAATTGGGACAGAAGATGTAAACTACCCAACATTAAATCAGCTTAACCATCTGAGTACACTATGAATACGCACAAAGATACAATTCTAAAAAGAATGAAACCTACACCGTGGACCAGTGTAAACTTGGCACGATTATCACTTGTTGATGAAGAGACATAACCATGAACTTGCATGGAATAAGAAAGATACAAAAGTCTACGACGAACCAACTTCTTGAACACCTGATGCCAACAAAATTAACAGCTGACATTAATTAACCAACTCAAATCTCCAAAGTGCAAAAACATCAGTTACATAATGAAATATTCACATACCTCTATAGCTCTCTTGCCTCTCCTTCGAGCCTGAACACTGGTAAGCTCCCGAATCACAACTCTTGTGTTATACAAAGGGCTGCAATTTCCCCAAATCAGCATACTAACATTAATAAAATGGGCTGCAATTCCCTAAATTAACATACTAAAAAATACACATTAGGCTGTCAATTCACCAAGTAAACATACTAACAACGATAATAAAAATAAAAAGGGGAGGGAGGCTATAATGCAACTTACACAATCCAAAAAAGTTACTCAGAAGAGTTTTCAGACTAACCTGTCAGGATTCTTTACAAGAGCTTCAAAAACTAGCTCATCACCCTAAATAAGTTTAAAAGTAAAAGGGTACAATATCATCAGCAACATAATTTCTCAGCTAAAAGATCACAAAAAGATACAAGTTCAAGTAGAAGGTATACCCGCCCACCAAGGCCGATGCTAACACGATCAGAAACCTCGAAATCAGACATTTCGAACTTATTAACCAGACCCAATTCATCATCCACAGTAGACAATCCACCCATTTTATCATTTTCATCTGAGGCAATACTTTTTGAAGCCTTGCATGTTATTTTAACACATTTTTTAGAACTTCTACGCAATAATTGATCAAAGGGTTTCAAAATTTGCCTTGAAAATACAGGTTTAAGTAGTAAAGTCGACGAATTTATATTGGGGAAGCGTAAATCAATGGCTTCCATACTCGGATGAGCTCCAATTCTGCCAAATGCCATTCACTAACATTCAACCTATGACATAAAAATTTCAGCAAATCAACATTTCAGAAGCTAAAAACTGTTATTCTATAAATGCCCAAATCTATAAACCTGACATTTATTGATTTATATAATCAAAATTTCAGCAAGATAACGTAAAAAAAAGATTGAAACTTTACATTACAAGAAATTAATTGATGATTATGAAAAATACCCAGATAACTAAAGCACATACTCAATTAATTAAGAGACATACCCAGAAATTTAAGCAAAGCTAAAACAGAAAAGGGATGAATTAATTGTTGATTTTAAACATACCCAGAAAATTTGGAGATAATCCCAGATTGCAGAATGATCAAATTGAAGGGAAATAGAAGTAATTATAGAAGAAAGAAGATGGCGTGTGGTAATTGTGCGCAAAGTAGAGGTTTGAATAGTTGGGCATGCGCCAAAGCATGTCAATTTCTTCCAAACACACAGAAATAAACAAAATTAAAAAAAGACTGGTGAAAAATATCTATCTTCTTCATTTTCTCTGATGTGTTCTGTAGTTGAGATCTTCATCAATGATGACTGGTTGAATTATACGCGCCACAATTTTGGATAGACTCGTGGGGAAATACTCTGCTTGCATGTGTTTGAGGAAGTTATTCACGGGGTTTGCTCGTGGACTTTGTTAGAGTTCTTGAGCTTTTGGATTATGCAATTAGACTCTATTTTAACTTGTTTGTATAGTGTCAAGGATTGGAATTTTGAAGTCGCTTCTATATTATTGGGTCATTGGATGTGTCTTGTATCCCGGATGTATTATATACTTCCTCCGTTCTGTTAATATTGCAACAATGGACTTTTTGCACTATTCATCACTCTTGTTTGACCATATAATATGAGTTATACGTTAAGCAAAATATAGTCGATCTTGTTGGATTCGTCTCATTTAATATTTTCACAATATCAACTTTTTATAATTTTTACTCTTACACAATTATAGATATTTAGCATATAAAATGTGCTTTGGGATGCGTAATTTCCTCCTTGTTGCAATATTAATAGAACAGAGGAAGTATAATAGAGTGTAACAACGAATTGTCTTTTACTTTCAGTTTTTTTGTTACATACTGAAAACAAGGTATATGTTTGTTCTAGCTTAGTTTATTAGATGGTTCGTTTTTTTCATTCTTTCCTTAAAGGAATTTGGCTTTCTTGGTTTGTAATCTTCTCCCCTTGAAGAAGTAATTGGTGAAATGAATGAAATAGAAAAGGTGATCTACTTCTTTCATACAAGCATCATTGATCACATGATCATCCTCACCATGTCATTGATCACCCCTTCATATTCATCATAAACATCATGCACCAATAATTCCACAAGAGGTACAAGTAACAAATATCACCATGGTTAATTGATATTTCATTTAAGTGATACCTATGTAACAAATCATCAAAACACCATCATCATCTATATACCATTCTAGAGAAGAGCGGGAATCTATCTTAACTAAATGTCATTGATTAACTTAGGCTAGGAAAATATTTAAGTTTTACTTGTCGAATTCTTCAATTATACAACCTAATTGAAGAAAGTGTATATTGAAAATGGTAGATTAAATGATGGATTTGAGAGATGAGTTGAAATAGTTGCTAGTTGTATGTGGAAAAAAAAAGGGGAGAAACATAGTTGTGGTGTGTTTACCTTGAACTCATTCAATTATTTAATTTGTAGTTGTATGCATGCAATAACAAAACACCTTTATAAAAGAGATGAAATTGGCCTGATTTGAAATTAAATTTCATTTCTAACCTTAGGTACACCTAGCACTTTTTTTTTTTTAATTTCTTTTGCCTAATCTTCTTTATACATTCTATGATCCACTCCCCATATAATTTTAAATGTGGTTTTTGTGTTGCTCTTGACTGGAGATGATACACCAATAATATAAAGCAATGAATCAATGAGTTGATAAGGCCACCATATTTGCTTGCTAGCTATATAAACTAGTGGGACAACATTGTTACTTTAAAACACCACCTCGTTGCTGGAGAAGCAGCGGTTAACTCTATTTGCTTTAGTATTAATATGTAATTTCTTGTTTGTATCCTTTGTCAAAAAAAAATAAAATAAAATAAATAAATAAAACACCACCTCATGTCCTCATGTATGTGGGAGAAGGGAGTATCATGTCAAGCTACCATGCACTATCTCTTATTAACATAATTTTTCTTGCCCACGTACTACATATGAATGTCACCCCCTGACCATTTCAAATGTGACTCTTATACATATTATTCTTTTAAACTAGCTAGGCAAGAGCATCCATCACATAGATTTCAATTTTGCAAGGGGGTTAACTTCTACTTTGATGTGTAACGATTGAACTTAACTTTTTACAAGGTACAAGGGCCTGCTAGAACAAGACTTGGTCATTATTGATTTAGTAATATATAGATTCATTTATAACATCCACCTTTAATACTAAGGAGATAATTTCAAACAAGAGCCAAACACATTAAGTGTATTACAAATTGATGTATGCAGATTTGCTTGGAAAAGAAAAAAAAAATCTAAGATAAAATTTATTATCTATCTTTCCCTCAAAATCTTTGAAACTTGATTGCAATTTGATTTGAACACATGTAATCAACTGTCATTTATTATTATAATATAACAAAATAAGATAAAATAAATTGATAAACAAACCTCATTACAATAAGTTTTTATAAGGGCTTGTTCTCATTAACTGAACTGAACTGAGTTGAACTGAATTGAGCTAAACTGAACTGAACTGAATTGAGCTGAATTAAACTGAACTGGACTGGACTGGACTGAAATGAATATTTTATAAGAGAAAGAAATTAGGAATTAAGCTGAACTAAACTGAATTGAACTGAACAGAACTGAATTTCAACATAAGAGAACAGGCCCTAAGTGTTATCTTTCACATTGCATGACTTGCAAGGACTTATATAACAAGCCGCACAAATTATGTTCAATTTTTTTTTCTTTCTCTTTCTTTCTTATTTTTTCTTGTTCTCAAATAAGCAAAACTAGTGTTAACAAATGTCATTTTCACGAAAAGAAAAAAAGAAAATTAATTATAAGTAAGAGAAAGTAACTTTTGTACTGTTTCACTTGTTTTGCTTGTGTTTGTATTAACTTGCCCACAAATGATTAATTACCGCTCGTAATAATCGTGATTCAGAATAATAAAAACGGTCATGTTTATTTTACCTTAATTTCAATTATCTTAAATCTATTAAGTTTAGAAAAAATAAGTAATGATTAAAATTTTTAGATAGGATAGAATAAGGATTACTAAGATAAAGATAAATATTTTTTTTTTAAAATGAATGTAAATGGTTTATTAATTAGGAAAATGCTAACGAATGCCCCCGAGGACGTTGGATAAGCTAGTTAAAAGTAGAAAGATTAAATTAAAACTAACATTAACTACACCGATCGACACGTGATTTTGTTATGTTTTCCCAAATTAATATTACTTTAAGTAAGATTTTAAATGCTTATCCAACACCCTAGGAGGCGTTCGTTAGCAAGATCCTATTAATTATTCCTTGTTAATACTATTAGATAATACAAAGTTGATTAGAATTTTATACAAAGCATAAGTTAAATTCAAGTGCAATGATTAGTTGACTACTACTCATATATTAATCAAACAATTATATCTTCATTTAATCAAACAAGTAAAGGAAACCAACTAATAATCTATATTTATCAAACAACTAATTGATTAACACAACTTCACCAAAATTTCCAATTTCCCAAACATGCATTTCCATAAAACGCATCGTTTCATCCTTAATAAAGGTAACCCAATCGATGAAGTGTCAAGTTCCAATTGGCATCACCCACGTAACCCTAAAACTTCCCACCCATAACCAAATCCTCTAACCCAAACACGCCCTTACAATTCTAATCCCAAGGGTATTTTCGTCATATTTTTTAAGCCTGTATTATCCTACGCTCGCCTCCTTTCCGAATTCCGATAAAACAACAAACCCTCTCTCTTCTTATTTTCTCTCTCCTCCACATTTTTCTCTCTCCTCTCGATCGAGATCCTCCGTCGCCGGTATCTTTCTCCGGCCGTTTTGCATTCTTCCGGTCGCCGGAGATTCTGTTCGTTGTGATTTTCGTGGTTGTTTGGTTATTGTAGCTGTTCGTTTTTTGTGGATTGGTGTTGGATTTTTGAAATTAGGGTTCGGTTTTATTGTGGATTGAATTTGAGAAGATTTGCGGATTGGTTTTGGAAGCAAGATTTGAAGGTTTTGTAATGTACGTATGTTTTTTGTTTGGTAGGAGTTGTTTTTCGATTTGAAAAAACAAAAATAAAAATTAGGGTTTGAGAAAGGGAGGGAATTAGGGTTTTGGTTGAGTTGATTAAGGGTTTGAATTGAGGAAAAAGGAAAAATGCCGAGAAGTTCGCGACATAAATCTAGCAAGCATAGTTCGAGGGAAGTGAGGGATTACTCTGATTCGGAGAAAGACTCTGGATTGAAGGAGAAGAAAGGGAGGGAAGATGGTGGGAGTAATATTAGTAGTAGGCATTTGAAGGAGTCTACTTCTGCTGAGAAACGGAAAATTGATTCGAAATCGGCGGATGTGACGAAGGATTTGAGTAGTGTTGCTGTGAATGTTGATATCGTTGAGGAGTATATTGCGCCTTCGACGTCGAAGAAGCGGAAAGAGAAGGAGGATGATGACCGGTGGACGGGAGGTGATATCGAGCACGATCTGTCTAAAAGTGATTCGAAAAGGTCGAGTAGGAGAGAAGGGAGTTTGGTGGTGGATGGGGAAGAAGGGAAGAGAAGTGGGAGTAAGGCGGAGTCGAAGCACCATAGGTCTGATAGGAAAGAGAGGAATGAGAAAGAAGGGGGTTGGGAACGGGATAGGAAGGGCAGTAAAAGTGAGAGATTGGTGGTTGGTGTAACTGGAAATGAGAATGTTGGCAATGAAGGGAATAGGAAGCAGGGCAGTGGAGAGGAGCGTGCTGGAAAGCATGGTGTTGGTAATACTGGTAAGGTAACCTATTTATGTGCTTCTTACTATTGTTTATTGTTGAATGATTGTTTGATTTGCAGGGAACAGTTGCTTACATGGTATAGTAGGATTGATACTGTCCCGGTGTTTCTTCGTCGTGTGGTTGGTATTGTAGTGTAGGGTTTCTTTGTTTTTATTTTCATTGGCACCCCTTCATCCATCAAAGGAGGTGGATGTTTACTAGTTGCTTCAATTGGCTGTCCTTGTATGGGCAATGTCATGTCTAGCTCTGAAACTGATTTACGACGCACAAGGATTATGTTAATAATGTGTTTGGGTTGAGTATTTGAAGGAATGATAGTGGAAATTATGTGAGGGATTCATTTTCTTTGCTTGGATATTGGAAGGGCAAAAGCCAAAAGGAAAGAGTCTTTTCCCTTCGTTTTTATTATAGCTGAACTTTTAAATATTGTAAATATAGTGAGAGGAATTTGCTGTTTCGTGCCCACTTCCCTTCCTTTTATTTCGTTATTACTGTCTTAGCAATTAGCATTCAGTAAGTTAGAATAGTTTTTCTATAGGCTTTTGTTGGTTTAAGTTCAATGTAATGGAAGAAAGAGTATCTAGAATTTGGATGTATTAATTTGTTTAATTGGGCTTGGTTAAAGTGCTAAGGTAGCCTTCTAATATTATAATGA